CAATTACCGCAATCCAGACATTCAGAGCAAACCAAGCATACAGAACTGCCACTGATTTAGCCACCTACCTTTTAACCACTCAACTGCATCTTCATATTTGATTGCTGGAGAACTCAACTCGTGGATCTCGTTCATCAGGAAATCTGGCAAAGTACTGCCGGCAACAAGGAAGGAACTTCTCTTTCCTGCTAAAGCGAACGCATCGATTCCACAAGACAAGCTCAGGCGAGTGATAAACCCACACTGAGAGAAAACCCTTCAGCACTGATAACCAAACATACCTCCAACGATTCACCTGCCTCCAAACCATTGCCCAGGAAGGATTTGAGCTTCTCGGCTGATTAAAAACCCAATAAGCATGGCTTGATCCATTCGATTCTTTGAATCTACAGAGATGTAAATTCCGGCGTTGGAGACCAAGCATTACTCCTTCGATTCACCAGTAGTAACCAAACCATTATCGATGAAGGCTCCGATCCTTTCGACTGAAGCATTCGAATCCTTATCTTTAGGCAGCATCAGATCAACAGCAGAGAGACTCTCATTGCATTCAGAGCAAAAACCCCCCATCTAGATTAGGGTTTGATTGGAAGGAAAAAAAAAAAAAAAGCAAAAAGCAATAATGATTTTGGAATTTTGGAAAATTGAACAAAAACTACACTAGATGGAAAAGAAATCAAATGCGAAGTGTGAGAAACGGGCGGAAAAGAGGGGAGAATAGCGAAGAATGAACCAAAAGATTAATTAACAGGGCCATGACGGGGGACGAACGCTCTGAAAGCTCGGAAAAACAAAAACCCAAAACGTTATTTGTATGGAATAGTGGTTCTCCTTTCTCCTATTAAGGTAAAAAAATAAAAAGAGATCCGATATTTCAAATCATAGATAATTGTCTATCACGTGCCGCCAACTAACTCCTTTTTGTACGGAACCTATATGAAACTTTCTATAGGCCGGCAGGCATTGCCCGTTAGATCTGTGAACGTCGGAACTCTTTCATCCCACCGGAGTTTTCGTCATCACTGGCGACGGCCGACCACACATCGCCGAAGTTGATTCCAAAAGTAAATGCTAATCGCCTGAGAAATTCTCGGTCAACAGCTAGGGCCCAGATGTGGACTTTGTAGTTAGTTGGAAAACTATATAATAATTAATTAAACTAAACTCCATCACGTTCCACCCACTGCATTTGACGCTGAACAATATATATATATATATATATATATTTTTTATAAACTCAAATGCATAAAACGAAAAAAGAAATCTAAATTCCCATAAAAACAAAAAGGAAATCTAAATTCAAGTTTTCCATTTTAAAATAAATTCTACATTCCATATACAAACAAACATAAAAACCAAAAAAAGCAACCAATCCCAAACATTAAAAAAAAAGAAAAAAGAAAAAAGAAAAAAGAAGCAACCAATCCTAGTACATGCTACAAGAAAACAACACTTCTCCTACTTCTGTGGAGCGGTCGTTTAAGTAAATCTTTAAAGCTGTCCAACAAGGAACCTGGAAAAAAAAAAAAAGCACCTTACAAAGGATGACAAGAAAAGAAATTGAACGAACTCACATTCGTGCATTGGTAAGATTGAGTTTAAAACTCGATCTCAAATTTAAATCTTAAAACAGGTGAAAATGAATTACAAGAAGAAGAGGGATATTCTTTATACAAAAATCATAAAAATAACAGTTAACCATTAACATATCAGTAATTCAGTATATATATAACATACCAATCCGCTCTCCTGCTCCCATCCTTTACTCTTCATCGTTGAGATTGATCTCCATGTGGGGGGTGGGCCGGTTCGTTGAGGTCGAACTCCATCCTTACCGGTTCATTCAATTGGTTCAGATTGATCTCCATGTCGAGTTGGATAGGCTCGTTCAGATCAAACTCCATTCTTATTGGAGCCTCTTCCGGTACTACATCCTCATCAACTCGGTCGGCCTCTGGAGCCCTTTCCACTGCCATTAAATAAGTCCACGCCGTGTTATTTAAGAGAAAAATACTCACCGTGTCTCCTTTTTTCAGTTGAAGCTCCCTAACAATAGGCTTCCACCCACTCTCCAAGAGAACCACTCTCACAACATTTCGCCCCTTTTTCCTAAGTTTTTGAAGCGATGCGGTTACCACAAACTGCAGACTACCCTCATTAGGACCCTCCAAAAACATAATCAATTCTGCCTTTCCTGCATTTTGCAGTTCTGGAGGAAAAAGATTAGGTATGTTCCCAACTACATATTGTGGTAAGGTAAGCTTTTCACGGGCAGAAGTAGAATACTTGGGCAGTTTCTGAGATGAAACCAAAATTTTCATTTGTGCTAGTAAGGTGTTTCGGCCAAAAGAAAAAAAAAAAGAAAAAAAAAAAGAACCTTGAAAGCTATGAAGTTGGTGTGGAGAAGGAGAGGCAGTGTACTCTGAAGTCTGAATATCGCAACTGTTTAACAGGCAGATATATACATCTATTACAAAGATTACACGTGTCCCATGTGACAAATAAAAGACGGGGAAAAATTGCGTCCCAGAGCATTATTGACCCAGTAGATTTGTTGCACCATTTGTAGTCCTGTTTTTGGTGGGCTGATTGGACCGACATTGGCTTTTATGACCATTCAGAATGACGATTGTGC